AGATGGCCTCGCATCCCAACATTGCATTATTATTCTAACTAAAAACTCATTCGTCTTGAATGGAATTTTTGGACGTAAGCCTTGACAAATTTGTACAGCAAGATCTTGATCATGAGGAATATTATAGTATGGAGGAAATCCTGTGATTATTTCATATGCTACGATTCCAAATGAATAAATATCTGCTGCCGGTGTGTAAGCATGACCACACAAGACTTCGGGTGCAATATAAGGAAGAACTCCATAAATTTCTTGACGAGTCGAGGTTTTTTTTTCTGAAAATATTTTACAATGACCTAAATCTGATATTTTCAGCCATAAATCATAATCATATAAAAGATTTCCTGGATGAAAGTCTCTATGAACTAATTTGTTCGAGTGCATAATACATAAACCAAATGAAATACTCTTCAACGAATTCAATTTTAAGTTCAAATCCATCTTGTAAAAATTTTGGTCCAAGTAATTCCTGAGACTGCCATTCTTTTGAAAACTAAAAACCATCATGTAGCTTAATGATTCTGGTTGTTGCGTAATCCCATAACACCGAACAATATAACCTCCCCACATAATATAATGTCTCTCAATCTAAAATTTAAAATTATATTATATTAATAGTGAAATTATAGTTAATCGAGTTTAATGTTCCTACCTCATTTAAAAGATCGTCAACTGAGCTAAGCTTATCTAGGCTTTTTAATGCTACTTTCTTATTGGGACGTCTAACCCATTTCTTATTGAGAACATCCCAACCCCTAATATAACCATCTTTCCACATCGCAGAATAAACAGTGCCATATCCTCCTTTAGCGATATAGCTGACATCTTGAAATTGTGTATACGGTATCCATTCTAATATTTTAAAATAATACGTAGCTTGAAGTTGTAACATTTGTATAAATTCGTCAATTTTTTTGTCTCCACTGGTCCATTTATCAAAATCATGTCGAAAGTGAATTCCACTACATGACATGCACCATTTTCCTGCAAACTCTTGATTACATTCAGGACAAAAATCAAAAAATGACATGTTCGATCTCTTTATACTTGAATTTTCTTGTTATATATTATGCGAAATCTGTAACGTTACACGGAGACAATATTTTTAATACATAATAATACAGTATATAATTTTTTTTGATAAACTTTAGTTCTTTATTATAATATAAAAAAATATACATTTGGAAAAGAATCAACATTTACTTATATGAGTTAAATGCTAATTTACCAAAATAACTAGCTAAACTATATTAAAAAAGAAGTTTTAAAAACGATACTTTGTCTAAATAGTTGTACAACTGGTTATGCAATTTGTAAAAAATGAATAAAATTAATATATAATTAATAAATAACTTTTTACATCACAACTTTGACTTATATAGCTATAGGATTAGAAAAGATTTAATATTATTATGTACTTTTTGATACATACTTCAAAATTGCAATTTTTGGTTAGTACAAATTATCAAATTTAGGGATTTAAAAAGTCAAGTAAAACATAACTTTAATATTTCTTGGCAAATACTTCAAATGATTTAATTGAATTAAGCTATCAAATTTAGAAATAAAATTGTCAAGCAAAATACAACTTTTGTATATAAATATATTATACATTAATATTTATAGTAATTAATTTTTTATATCTATAATTAAACAAATGTATACTGTTTATTAAATCTTTCTTTACAAAAAACAAATAATATTTCCCTTAATATATAGGCCAATTGTTTGCAAATATAAAATTATAAAGCAAATTTGTTAATAATACAATTTAAAGAATAATATATTATATTGCATAAATTTTGATGCCTTGAATACTTGTTTTAAACTAATGATTTTAAATATAATTTTGAAAATAAGTAAAGTTGCTCTTTTTAAAAATTATTGCTTACAGTTTATCAATACAGTTTATTTGAACTATTTTTTTATATTTTCAATTATTATTTTTCTTTTTTAATCTATTTTCAAATATTCAACTTGTCTTAAATTTAATTAAAATCAAGATCTTTTATGTTGTCTTTTTATAAAATCTTAAAGTTTATATTTTTTTTTATTTTTAGCTTCTTGGTTTTTTTATATAATACTGTTATTATGTTTCTTATATTTGTATTATTTTAATTTTCTTTTTAAATTTTGTAATCTAATGTACCTATTGTTTTATATCTTTTTTCAAACTTGTTTATAAATAGATTTTAATAACTTGTTTAATAAGTACTTTGTTTTATTCTGTAAGCAATTTAGCATTTAACTCATTGTATTCACATATAAGAAATATTGTTTTTTTTACAATTTATATTTTGACATATACAAACCAAATAAAAAAATAATGTTTACCTACAAAAAAAAGTACTTTGTTTTATTAATCTTAATTTTTTTCTTGTTATTAATTGTATTTATTATATCTTTATCTTTTGCTTTTATATATAAACAGTTTATATAAAAACAATAAAACTATTGAAAATTAATTTTTTTATTAATTTTTATATTTTTTTAAGACTTGTATATACTTTAAAGATTGAATATTGTTATTATTATTAATAAATTTATTAGTAAAATAATTTACTTTTCACATAATAATAATTAATATATTTGAATTTCAGTATTAAATAAAAATAAGATTTTAATTTCAAAATAATTATAATTTAATTAACTTTTATATTTATTAATCTTTTTTTTAATTATTTTTTTTCTAAACACATTTTAAAATTACAAGTATATTTTTCTATAGTATAAAAAATAATTATATATTTTATTTTTTTAAAGTATTTGTTTTAATATAATATAATAGTATAGATTTAATTTATACTTTAAGAAATATATAATATTTTTTTTTTGCAAATGGATATTAAATGCAGAATCCTTATTAAACTTTTGTTTATTTATTATTATATTAACAATTTTTAATATATAAAATAGATAAATTAATTATAACCTATTGCAAATAAAGATAATACATATAAATTTTTAAAAACTTTAATAAAAAGAAAAAAAAATAAAATAAACAATAGTTAGTTACTAGTTATATTATTAACTGTACATATGTACTCCATAAGTAATAATGATAAGAGGTGATATAGTGTTTAAATTTTGGATTGTGGCTTAAATCTATATAATAATATAATCAGATATATAATATTTATTATACAAAATAAAATAATATTTATTTAATTAAAAATAAAAAATTAAATCATATAATTTTTTAAAAAAGTTTTTTTTTACATTAATAAATTTTTCTAAAATTGATCATTTAATATTAATCTATAATAAATTATTATTATAATCATTATGAACATTGGGTATTATTATTATAAATCTTAATATGTAATAGGTGATTATTATTATTATTATTATTTTAAATAATAATAATATTATAAAATATAAATATATAAAAATAAATAATATGATTTTAATAAAATATAATTGATTAGATATTATAATAATCTTTTGATAAAAATAAACTAATATCAATTTTATTATTAAGAAAAAACTTTGTATTTATATATATAAATAAAAAAGATAGTAAATTAAAAAAAAATTTTATATAATTTTTACTAATAGGATATTTCAAATTTTTAAAAATTTAATTAAAAATCCTATTATTATAATATTATATAAATATTGACTTTTTATTTGAATCTAATCTATTATTAAAACTTGAGACTGAAAGAAAACAATTGATAGTAATACTTTAAAAAAGAATTTTCATCTTTAACAATAAAAAAATTTTTTTTAAAAAAAAATAATTTTATAAACTTGTTTTGTTAAAATTTCTTAAAAAAATAAGCTAATGTTTTTTATAATATATAAATTTTTTAAAAAAATTAATTAGAATCCAGATTAAATATTTATTACAAAAATCAAAAGCATGTTATAATATATCATATGAATTAAAACATTATACTGTATGAATATCTAATAAAATTATTCAATATATTTATTTGTTTATTATTTACAAATAATTAAAATGATTTTGATTATTTGTTTTGACAACTGAAAGATTTTTATTTATTTTTATAATATTCGTTTATCATATAGATATTATATATATTTTATAACACAATTTGATTTTATTTTATTTTACATTACCGAGTTAATTATAAAAAAACAATTTTTTTCTAATAATTAATAATTAACAATTAGATATAAATTCAATATGGTTTTTGAATCGAATTTGATTTATTAACCAAATCATTGAGACCTTCTGTATCAAACATTTTCAATCGTTTCTTTGATTATAATCTTTTTAAACGCAATATCTGATTTAATGGTACAGTTTGTATTAACAATATATATACTGTAAATACGTATACGGTATATTATTTGTAAAATGATTTTAAAAAAATCAAAAAAATCAAAATCAATAATAATAATAATTAATTAATTAATTTAGTAAAAAAAAAAAAAATTAAATCCTATATAACAAATATCTATTGTGAATAGTAAATTTATTTATAAATCATAAAGTCACGAATCGAATAAATATAATGAAATAGAATAATAAAATGGACAGTATATAAAATCATTGATGCAATTTGTTTTCTATCACTTTTATTATAATTAGAATATGAAAATATCAATGACGGTAAAAATTAAAAAAAAAAATTTTTTTTTCTATAAATTTTAATTTTATATATTGATTTGATAATAACTAATGATTTCAGACTTGATAAAATAATTATAAATAGGAAACATCACTTAAAGGAATTATGTCTTGTTTAATGAGCATTGTTAAAATTTATTTCATACAACAGGTTACACGCTAACCTCACCATTCTGTTAAACAAATCATAATAAAATAAATAAGTTGTATTACCTTCGATTCTTGTACTATCCAAACCATCTAATCTAAATTGGCATCAAAAATAGGAAAGTCAAAGTGTTTGTGATTTCGGAGGTACAGTATATCGTTTGAGTAAGGTGTGCAGCATAGTGCTGTTCGACTCGTTATCAAGTGGGATGTCTTTCAATCCCAACCGTTAATTTTTCGTAAAAATAACGAATCATTCATGACGAATTTCAACATCCCCGAATTGGTTCGTTCTAATTTTTCCACTGCGGCTAATTTCTTCAAGGTCTTCTCGCGTTCTCGGGAAATTAAAAGTCGCATCATCGGTGGAGTCGTCATAGTCAACTCTTTTGTCTTGTCTACCTGCACCTTGATTTGATTCACTGGTGTATAAGTTGTCACCTGTGTTCTTTTGTTGTTTTTGTTTCCTCTCAAGTTTAGCCCTTTCGCGAACTTTATCCCATGCGGATAATGGGAATTTTTTCTCATCACCCATATTTTCTTCGTATTGTGATTGATATTGATGATCTAAGATTCAGCAAACGAAGAGGCACAATGTAACACGATTATAATTATTCGATCGATTAACTTTAGACCGCATATTAATAAATATACCGTATTCATAACTGCTATTATCTTTGACCATCTCGTAGTCCGACGACATTCCATCGGCACTTTCCAAATCTCTGGATTTTTGATTTCGTTCCGCTGGTGGGATGGCTATTCGTGGGGCACGCTCATTGATTATCTCATTTCTTTTTATTGTCAATTATTTATTAACCGCATATTAGTAAGTGCGGTGAACATAATTGCAAATCGGGAATATTAATTATAGAAGAAAAAAAAGGGCTCAAACGCAACTGTACGTCTCTCATTAATTCCAAGATGCGTTTTGAATTGGGCATACTTTGCAACATCCTTATGCCGGCTATCCCGCCAGAGATAATTCCCATTTGGCTACCGGTGAAGGAAGCGCCTGCAACAGGGTTGTTCGGAATCCATTCAGAAATGTGTTAGTATAGGACGACGCGGAATTGAAGTGAGGAATAACTGAATGTTTCTTTACCGGCGCAAAGAGCAATTGCTCCAATGCTTCTAAATTTTAACGACCTGGCTTCATACAAGTTAAAACGGAGTATTTAGAAAAGCCTAAATTTGTTGTCCCCCGTTTGTAAATCTTTTATTTTCATGCACCCATTCCATGCTTTACATACCAAAAATACCACCAGCAATCAATCCAGCCAATGCACCCATTTTCACTAAATCGAAGATCAGGTTTTGATTAAAAAAAAGGTAGCATGGTATGGAGATTTAAAATTTCATTTGTCCTAGAAAACAAACACACTATGCGTATTCATTTTCTCTTTAGCTTTCATGAGAACTGTAAACTCTTCGTCGGATAAATTGTGTTCTTTCATTTTATCCCGGACGCGCTCAAATACGGAAGGATGCATTTTTGGATTTCTTGATGTAAAGATTCGAAACCGATACGATGCGATGCGCGTTTATTTTATTTCTAATCTATCACGTGACAATGAAATAATTAACGCTTAGGGGCGCATGTGATTTGCCAAAACGGTTACCATTTAATTTCCGATACCTTGGGCTATGCAATATTAGTGCGAAAAAAAACAAATAACATATGCAAGGTACTAATTAAGTGCAATATTATTGAGAAGTGCTGAATAAATAACGTTTCTGGAGACTAATATTGTTTCGGGTGTTCCGATGGTCTCCTTTAACTTCATTGCTATTGTTACTACCTCTCTGATAGTCGATCATTAATTAATTACACCCTCACTTTCGCAGTAAGAGTTGATTCACTTCCACTTCTCAAGATGGTGACTCACTCGAGAAAGTAAAAAAAAAAAAAAAAAAAAAAGCCATGCATAACAAGATAATAAATATATCTTCCCTATCCGTGTTCGTTGTACAGTAGTGATTTTACATGTGTATTTTCATCGAGATAACAAGGGTCGCTTCACTACGCGTCGTTTTTTGTGAAACCCAGTTAACGGATGATTTTAAAGTGATGTAGATCAGGATTCATGATTTTCATTGGTTAGCAGCAAGAGGTTGAAAAATGCACACTTACGCAGTAGAAATAGAAATTTGTAATCATGGAAGATTCCGAACTTCAAGCAATTCGTCAGGCTAGATTACGTGAGTTGCAGGCATCAGCTGCAACGGTGAGTGTTGGATGGGATGGAGTGTCCTGCTTATGACACGTTTCTTCGACTTTTAATTTACCCGCTCTAATAATTTACACAAAAGGGCGAGGGCTCAAAGTCTTCGGAAGATGAAAACGAAAAGAAACGGTAACGAACAACAAAATATTTTAGTCTTTAACAGTTCATTGATTCTTGGATTCTAAATTCGACAACCTTTGCAGTCAAATGGAAGAGACGAGGCAAACATTGGTACGCAATAAGTTCAATGTTTGAAAAGATGACTTCGAATCTACAACCATTCACAATAATGCATTCTTTGATAGTTGGCACAAATTCTTGACAATGAGGCTCGCGAAAGACGTGGGTTTCTTCTTGAGATTTTTTTATGAACGCAGAACCTTTAGTAATCTCTCGTCCGTCCGTCATTAACTTCTAGTTTCAAGAATTTCTATGGTAAAAGCTGATAAGGCTCGCGCTGTCGAAGATCTCTTGATTCGCATGGGACAAACGGGGCAACTACGTGGAAAAGTTAGTGAATCACAATTAATCGATCTCTTAGAGCAAATCAATCAGCAACAAAAGCCAGAGACGAAAATCAGGGTATTTATTGTATGTCACTTGATTGAGGTTAGACGTTGAAATTCGTATTTACTTGTCGTCTCATTGTCATCAAGTATTCTCGAAGACGATACGAAGAAGATTCTGATGAAGAATATAACCTATGAGCATCGAGGATTCAAACCACACATATTTATTCATTTTTCGTTTACCAAAGGTGATTTTTGTTTTGATTGAATTGCTTCCCCATGAGACTCATTAAAATGAAATCATATCAATTTACCCATCCGAATTACATCAGGATATATTTGCTCATGAAGATTTCTAGTATTTTTCTCATTCATTCCAATAAAGTTTGCGATGGTGGACAATAGCAATGTTAACAAGATCTTGATCAAAACCAATTATATACAATATATGCACTAATGTAAAAAAATTGATTAATTTTTATTTTTATGTTGTCATCATGTTTTTCTTTTTACAACAAATCTCATGAGATGACGATGATCTTTCAACAAGTGATTTATATCAACCATTGGCTTAATATGTTCGCCAGGATTAATCATTTCAGAAGACACAAGATTAGAACATGGTTTACCAAATGTAAGGTAAAAAATCATAAAAATACAGTTATTTAAAATGCAATGATAAAAATACAACGTCATTGAATAAATAAATAAAATAAAAATCAAACGGATAAATAGAATAATACAAAGAAATGTGTAATCAATACCATAATAAATATATGGATCATTCGCGCCTTTCTAGAAACCCAAGATGGACAAAATGAAACTAACGCCTACAGGAACCGTGAGATTATCGGTGCCCATAGGACTGATGGATTCCAAGAAAGTGCCCACAGAAGCCGAAATTAATGAACCCCAAAAGTAATTCCATTTTGAATCAAGTTCAGGCGGTGACATCAGACTCCAGAAGAAGGAGACGGATAATAGGGTGAAAATGAAAAATGCTAGAGATCCCTCATATGTACGTTTCTCATGGCTCGTACCGATCACCTGGTATCCCCTTCGTCCGTACGTTTTACCGATCACACTGGCCGAAGCGTCACCAAAAGTCATGGCCATTATTCCGGCTTTAATTCAGAAAAGATGTATGCGATGAGCAGTGAGCATGATGATCAATGCAAAGAATTAAGCGTATGAAAGTCATTGTTGTATGTAATTTACCAATTGCTAAATATTCACGACCTCGAGGAAATCCATTCTCCCAACCCTCGTGGAAATATCCAATCAAGAATGCGCATGAAATAGGAAAGTAGACGGTTCCAAGGGTTGCGCCTTCGCGCGGATCTATGCAATTGATTTTTTTTTTTTTTTAGAAATAGATTAATTAAACATACCAACACATTCTCAATAATTCTTTCTCACCCATCGACCGGAAAATCTTCAGTTGCAAGAAGATAAAGTTAAAAACGATAAAACTGACGCACGTAAGTACCAAATATTCCCACTGTTCAAACAAATATAAGGAGATGAACATCCAGGTGCCGGCTAACGTATGAATAATCTTTCGGGTGATGTAAAGCGGAAGGTCGCATTTTTTGGACAATATTTCACCGAATAATAAAATAGTAGTGATGTATGTGTAGGTGAATACGATGACCTTTAGAGTTTCGGAAGTTAGTGAAGGTAGAGAGAGTAGACCCATTTTTTTCAAACGATGTTCCTAAAAACTGTTTAGCTCAGGTCGATTGCTAAGATCGACAATTCCCTAATATTTAATGTTGATAAGAGGTGGTGTAACTCAATGTTACAGTTGGTTTGCCAAGTAAGGCAATTGATTAATTACTAAAAGTAGCAAGAGGAAAAAGAGCGCGCGCCCTTAATAAAAAAAAATTTTTTTTTTTATTTATATTTATTTTTTTATTCGCTTAATTAGATGAATAATAAAACATGTTGATAACATGTATTTTTTTGCGAAAGGGATTTGTTAGAAAATTCGAATTGTTCCGCAGCATCCGATTGATTCGATGATGTTGACAATAGTAATGGTAATCAGCCTTCAATGATGAAGTCGAAGTACGAGTCCAATCTATCCACCCAAAAAAGATGAACCCGTGTGAGAGTGATCAAATTTGTCGTACCGAGGATGAGCCGTCCGATTCCCGAATCATTTGAAACAAAATAACCAACCAAGGAAACCACCTGATATAAAGATTAACCAAAAAGATTCATCAACTATTTTTTTCTTGTTATTCTATCCCTCTTTACCAAGGTAATGTTCACAATATTTCCGTGTGATACCCGATGTTGGCGATAAATTTATTTTATCTCTCTTTTTTTGAATTCGCATTCGACCAAATTATTCAGGCATCTAGGTTGCTCCATGCACGTCATTCCAAATATTGGGGAATCTTTTATCTAGAACCTCCATCCTGTTCCCCAATTATGGGGCTTCGGCGTATGGAAAAATCTGGTTTTCTCAGAGTCGGGATGCATGAAGATACGAGGGGGTGCGTGAACATAAGCGGGAAATGAATCAATCATATAAGTACCACAATGGGTGAATTTTTAAAACGACTCCAGAGTTTGGTGACAGCTGATTGCTTTGTTCGTCTTAGTCAGGTTGCCCCCCTCGCTTTGTGTTTTGGTCCATGACTTTAAGCGGTAAGTGTTTGCACAATAACGGCTTGGCATAGGAATATGTGTATTGTTGATATTTTCAAATGGATTAATTGTCGTAGCGTGAGACGTATTACACTTTGACCTTTGTGACATCCCTCGCTCAATTTGGTCATCTCACCAACACCTAGAATAGCAACCGGTGGCTAGCGTATTTTTCCGATACCGTGACCATATATTAATAAAGTTAAAATTAATATGATTCTATCAACTAGGCCAAATATGTGTTTTCAGGGGTTCCGAAATTCTTCAGGATCGTCGATTTGGGTGATTTTTCTGTATTTGTTTTTTCCACATTTTTTGTCAAGATAAAAAAATTTTTTTTTTATAAATATCATGGTATTAAAGCGCATTAGAGTTAACCTTCATATATTATTAATACACACATCTTGTTCTTGTTTGAATTAAATAGATATAATATATATATATATATACATCTACATCTATATATATATATACATCTATTCACAAGGTTCAACATTTTTGTTTTCGAGCCTTACACCACCCCACCCATAGTCGTTTCACAATGTATAGTCAACAGCACGAAGAGGTTCCGTCTTCACGTCATCAAACGACGGGCAGAAACGAATATCACAGCCCTGGACGTGGCGAATATTCACCTCCACTCTCCGACGCTTATTACACTGCTACGCCTCCATTTCAAACGGGTCATATACCCCCTCATCCCATGTACCCTCCACCTTCACGACATTACCTTCCATATCACAACATACCGCCACCACAAGTTCCACACCCGGACGAATATTCGGACCAAAGTTCAAAGAAGCCTGATATCGTGAACGTCACCAATTCCACCGGTATCCCAGAGAATACAAAAAACAAGACTCCGAATGCCTTGAAGAATTCGACATCACAGACTTTGAATAGCAAAGCAAAATTCAAGAAAGAGCGTTTCGGGTTCTTTGACTCACAAGCAATAGAAGAGGATGACAAGAGGTACGCCTGTTCAATATTTTCTTTGAATATGATCATCGGAGATTTACCCTTTAGCACCGAGTCGGCGTTGTTAGTTAGTCCTTTGAAATTATTATGTGACTTCGATCAATAATCAATACTTTGATCTTCATTCACAAACCAACTTTACTCGATTCCCCCCCCCCCCGAAGGCTATACTCCCTAATAGTTTGTCAACAACCTCTACGTGCTCGTATGTGCGGCTTCGGCGAGAAAGATCGACGACCGATCGACCCTCCGCCGATTGTGCAGCTGGTCGTTAACGACGATAAAGGAAATCTCGATACAAGGTTTGAAGAGTAATATTTTCATGTTTCATTCTCCTCGATCTATCGTTATAATTCAATTTTTATTTATCAAGTGCGGGTTTAAGGTTTTATGCAACATCACCGCATTTCTATCCATTGGCGCGATATGCTAAACTTCTTTTTCCTCCTCTATTATCGCAGCATGCTTCAAAATCCTTTTTTCGTGCTTCACGTCACGTTATGGTCTGAAGATTGTAAGGAAGAACGAAATGTGATAAGCAATCCTCCGAAAACCACAAGAGTGCTCATGGGTTCATTGGTTTCATCACCTGCTATATTAAAGAATACCACCGGTGATGCCGGATGCTACTTTTGTTTTCCCGATCTCTCCATACGAACAGAAGGCAAATATACGCTAAAGTTTTCATTGATGAAATTGGGGAGGTTGGCATTCATGTCTTTGATTCTGCTTTTACTTATCATGCACGTCTCACGTCGATTCTGATCAATGGATTACGCGTCTTTATCATTCAAGCGAAGATCGACTGATAAGTACGAGAACGGAAATAATCGCCACAACATTTTCCGATCCATTTACAGTATATTCGGCGAAAAAGTTCCCTGGTATGACAGGTAAGGATCCACAAAAGAAGTACTTTCTTTTTCCTTTCATATCATGTTGTAAAACCACTGCTGTACGATACTAGAATCCACTGAGCTTTCAAAAGCTTTTGCGAAGCAAGGACTAAAGATCCCTATTAGGAATGATGTGAGACCTAGAAAGGTCGCCGAGGATTGATGTGTCGAGCGCCAAGATCATTACTTGAATCTTACCGAGATCGAAATCTCGTCGGCGGGAGCCATTTGCTCCGGGATCGAATCACGGTATACAAGCAAAGGTCTTTTTTTCGAACATTGGCCGTAATATAAGGGCAATCTTAATTCTCGTATGATATCTTATAATCGTTTGTTCATTATGGACATGAATGATTTTCTAGGACTTAAGGAAATTTTTAAAAATGTTAAAAATTACAAAGGCAATCTATGATTTTATATAAATTCACGATATGCGAAAGTATAAAAAGGAGTCTTAATATCCATCTCATTTTAAGATTATCAATAAATCACCATATTAAAGGTTAATCCGAAATCTAGCTATCATTTCTGTGTTGCAAACGATAATTTCGACGGGCCGATGACTATTCCGATGAAACCAATACACGTGACATGTAAAAGGTATTCCATTTGTATAATAAAACTTGACAATATATTACATTCTAGTTAGTCTTGTAAATAAAATAACTAATTGTTTTAATTCAATTTGTTGTGTATGTATAATTTGCGTGTATTAATAATAATCAAATTCAAAATCAAATTTTAATAATCAATTAATATAGTTAATAGTTGGTTTATCTTTAAACTATTGTTTTATTGATTTTTTATTGCACAATAATTTTTTTCAAAGTTATAAAAATCTTGTATATATTTAAAAAATCCATAATAAATTATTAAGAATTTAAACAATTCAATATTTTATGTTAATTATATTATTATTAAAAAAATATTAAATATAAGATTTTGATGAATCTTTTATTTGCTACTATTTATATTAACAAGTTAATTAAAGCTTGTTTAAAAAAATATAATATACAATATATAAAACTCTAAAAACTTTTTTTAAAAAAAAAAGTTAAATAATAAATAATAAATAATAAATAATTATATTACTGTATAAACTATAGATTGTATAAATTGTTAAGATTATAACAATTATTTTTAAAAAATTTTGAAATTGAGTTAATAAAATAATTTAATTTATTTTTTTTTTAATTCAACCAGCTGGGCCTTGCCTAGCATACTTTATTATTTTATTCATATATGTAATTCATGTATTACAGAAACTACTATCTATAAATAATTCTACATATCGCTAGACTATATCAGACCTACCCCATATTGGCTTGTTACTGTCTGCGTTATTCCAGAGGGGTTGTGCTGAAGCTAACATGCCAAAGCCCCGTTAGTATTGTTATTATATCATTATGTTCTATGTGGCACTGTGTAAATTTAAAAGAAAAGTTTTGAATGTGGGAAACTGGAGATAGTACCTATTTTTGGTGAATAGAACCACTGCAAAGAGAATCCTTCTAGATCCAACTACCTGTAAAAAGGCATACCATTTAATTTTCATCTTTCTAGAGCTACTCAAGAATGTTCAAGGAACTTATCTCATAGACTTATGGCCTATAGATTGTTTCAGCTATCGGTACTTACTGTTGTTTTGGCTGCCTTCTCAGAATAGGTAACTGTCGGAGCAATCTATTACTGGATTGGAATAAGGCCTTTCTGGAAACTTGCAAAAAGAGACATCAGATACTATGGGGAAACGATCACCAAGTTATCTTTTATCAAAAGCAAACACCTTATACACCTTATAACTTCCAGTGATCATTGTAACACCAATCAGATGATCTTCGTGCCATGACATCTTTTCTAAAAATCTCAATCTCAATGCCCGCTGGATCAGCATGTAATATGGCTTCTCATAAGAAACAATACTTATACAGGTTATGATATCAGATACCATATTAATTCTATTCAACTGCCTTCATATGGGGTTGAACTGGTATCTTGTGATTTGATCTGTGAAGTATTAACTACTACACTATAGATCCACAGGTTTCATTTTAAAAGGAGAGAAAATTATGGTTCAATCTGATTATATACTAGTAGTCAGGCAACTGACACTTACTGATGCCACATCCAGCCCCTAATAGGATTCCGAAAAAGTACCGAACTGGTATCGAAATGGTACCGATCTATAGTAAATTTAATATATGGG